GTGGCTTTGTTAATATTCTGTCCTAGGATGCGGTTAGATGTGCCCTTTTTTTTTTGGAGCATCTGCCCCTTTAGTGGTCTCTACACGGCCCTGCCACATAGGAATTTACATTTTACAAACAAAACAATGTTATATTTTAGTAGGTTTTACCTGGTTTTGCTACTTACCTTTGCATAGTGTGTAATAGTCGGAACAGCAGTCGTTGTACCTCTCACAGGCTGTGTTGCACTGACAGGAGTAACTAGTGTCTATTCCATACCCGCACCGGCCCTGACATGAGTCTGAAATCACACCAGAAGCATTTACAACACCGACTGCAACATTTCACTCACATGCTACCGGCTCAAGATGCTCATTGTAAAGTGATGCTGTGAAAGAAGGAAAGAGTCTTACTGCTGTGTCCCTGGTGGAACAGGGCCATGCAAAGGAGAAGGATAGCAGCGACTTTCATCTTGGATCAGCAGCCCCCTAAAACAAGGTGACCCAACTGTTACCACATCCATGTTTTTATAGCAGTTTTATCTCAGCCAATCCAGAGGGAGCCTCGTGAACACAACCCAATCACAATCATATCAATCTAGATATGGTCTTATGAAAACTTTTTCTGATGAGTCATGGATTCTATTTATATTCTGTAGATTATGCTGAGACATACTAAAACAGTCAAACCTGTTGAATGTTTGAATACGGTAACACATTTGGAAATATGTAAAATTCAGATATCACTCTCATGTGTGAAAGTGCACACCTTACTGTCGGATTTCAAAACCATTTGGATAAAAATGATTGTTTAAATTATTGATCAGCCATCTTATATATTCAGCGTATTCAGTGTGAAGTACAGCGAAATCAGTATCTGTCATGTGCCTTTTTCTATTTTTATCAAATCAATTTGATCAGATGTTTTACTTCTCAGGGTCTATCCAACATGAAAACATGGAGTTGTCGGTGCAGCGTCCCTGATCACGTTGAGGTGACCTGCCCCTTTGTAAACATTATGGAGTAATCATGTTCTACACACAGGGTTTCAGATCGATGGAACATTTTAGTGTTGACATAATGAAATATTTGCACAAATGTCTTCAAAAGAAATTTTCCATTAGGTGTGGGCAGAAAACACTGATGCTTTGATTCTTACTGCAGCTTCAAAAGAAAAATGTATTTTTCATTCATTTTAAATAACACATTTTACATGTTGATTATTATTATTGTAGTTTTTATTTTATTATCATAAACTATAGTATTATTAGCTTTAGTGTAACTCTCTGTTTATTCTCTTCTTCTCGTTTTTTTTTTTTTTGGGTAGGGAGAAAAGATAAGTAAAGTACATCTTAGTCCCATTTATGTTAATTTATATTACTTGTAGCAACTCTGAAAGGTTAAATGGTTTCAATGGAAAGCCATTTAAAGCAGGTACGCATTAAATGACATACCTGCATGATTTAGGAGAGTATAAAGTGAAAAGGTGTTTATTTGTGGCAAGTCATGGTAGATGTGAAAGGTTGGATTAACTAAAATATAATCACAATAGTTTTTTTTATTATTATTTTGATTGTATAATGTTGTGGCAAGTATTTCTATTAGATAAATAATGTGAATAATCGATTCTATTTCATTAGAGAAACTTCTTTCTTTCTTTCTTTCTTTCTTTCTTTCTGTCTTTCTTTCTGTCTTTCTTTCTTTCTTTCTTTCTTTCTTTCTTGTGAACTCGCTGAACTTACGGGTAGCAGATTAAGAGCAGCTGCATATTAAACTCTGCTGTCCTCCAGGCCTGTAGATGGCGCTAATTAAAAGTACCGGTCTGTAACTCCGATTTTTTTGTTCTAACTCGGCTTCCTTCCTTCCGCAGCGTGGATTTCAATGACATTGTAAGCTTTCATAAGAGAGCTGTGTTTTCCAGTTTTTAATCATGTCGCTAGCTTCTTTATTTAGAGCTGTTACAAGAGAAGCCGTAAAGGTGAGCAGACTAAACTTCTCCATTTCACTTTTAGCTTCAGCCGTGTTTTAAGAGCTGTTGTTGTTAATGGTTGACTGTTGTCTTTCTGGCTTTCCCTGGGTCAGTTCCAGTGGCTCATTTTACCATTACTGGGTTTTTATGTTCCTGTAATTGTTAAAAAGGATGAAAATTGAATAGTAGTATTTGCGTGTTTGTCCTTTGTGTGGTTCAGGTGAGCGTCAGTCAGCCTGTGCAGTGTTTGCACTCAGGCTGTCAGCTGCTGGCTGCGGATAAAGCCCTGCTGTTGAAACTGAGGAAAAGCACCGGCTACACCTTCATTAAATGCAAGGAAGCGCTGGAGAGGTTTGAGAATGACATGGCACAGGTGTGTTGTCTGTTCTGGAGGGGGGTTCTAATACTGACTGGTGGAGAAACAATGTGTGACTGTGCTGCTGAACCTCCAGGCTGAAAGCTGGCTACATGAGCAGGCCCAGAAAGAAGGCTGGAGCAAAGCCAGCAAGCTGCAGGGTCGAAAAGCCAAAGAGGGTCTGATCGGCCTGTTTGTGGGGAAGCAAGCCGCAGCGATGGTGGAGGTAAGGGCAGCAGAGATCTACTGTATCAGCAGGTTTTATCCCCTGCTTGTTGGACTTTGTGCTTTATTTCTGGTTTTCTTGCAGGTGAACTGTGAGACTGACTTTGTTGCCCGTAATGAGAAGTTTCAGCAGCTGGTGAAGGATGCGACTCTCGCCACATTGGCACACCATCAGGATAAAAATCAAAACCCGACAGGATACGTAAAGGTAAACGTATCTTTTACTTACACACTTGTTGTTCCTGGCCATAACAATTTGGGGAAATGGTTATGCTCTCCTGTAACTATTTATAATGTAATGGATATTAATTGTTTAAATTTCAAATGGTCATGTGCCACAGCATTCACGAAGAAGTGTCCCTTTTAAAACCAAGACATGAACTGAGAGACTGGAGAAAGAGTTTCTGATTTATCACACTTTTATTACTAACTAATGGTGCAAAGATGCCAAACCTGAACAGACTCTTGCAAAACTATTTGTACCAATTTAGCTTTATTGCATTTACTCCTGTAACGACTAGAGCTGACGATGTATTTTGTCATAATCTACATGGTTTTATTTTTTGTTTTTACTCAAATAAAAATCTTAGAATAAATCTTATCCCATTTTACTCTGAAACCGCTAAATAAGACCGCATGACAAAGACGGAGTAACACAGCAGAGGCAGGGATAAAACTTTGGAGAGGTTTACAGCATTGCATAACATTTAATATGTCATGGAGCACTCTTTAATCTGTGACCTGGAAGGTACAGAAATTCATAGCTTGGGTGGAGAAATCTGTTGACATTTACTAGTTATTCCCTTCACAAGTCTGGTTTTTGTTGGCCAATAAGCCATAAGCATTGCTGTTTAATTTTATAGAAGCCATGTTGGGACTTTAAGCTAGTGCACGCAAACCTTTTGAGGTTTTTCACGGTAGAAGAAAAAAGCTAAAAAAAGACAGGAAACATTTTTTTGCAATTAACAGTTATGCATAACTTTGTGTAGTAGTTGTTTCACATAAATCCCAGTAAAACAGACTGGTTTGTTTGTTTTTTTCTAATGTACAGCTTTTATTTTCAGAGTGTCCTGTCTAGTGACGAGCTGAATAAACTCGGTGTGGGAGAAGGATCTTCACTAGCTGACCATTTGGCTCTCACAATAGGTCAGTAAACAAACACATGCTTATATATTTATTTCCCAGCTCAGATGTGATCTACCTTATTGATGTTGCTTCATCTTGTTAAAAGAAATTAAAAATAAGGTTCTTTAATTCAACCCTTGCAGGGCTACAGGCTTTACTGACACTGATAAATTTTGGATCATTTTAACTCTTTAAATGCATTTCGATCTTCTTGCTTTTTGAAGAAGTCTTTTATTTTTCGTTCTTCCCAGCTCATACATACAAAGTGGAAGTTCTTAACGGCAACGTTACAGACTATGTTTATGCTAAAAAAAAAAATGGTGACATTGATTCTGATTTAAAAAAAATTGTATGCAAATTTAATTCATATGTGCTTTTTGAATGTTAGAAAATAGTACTAAAAATTCAAAAAAGCCAAACTTTCCTCAGGTATTTTAGAAGATGTGATGAAAATAAATAAATCATGAGTAATCAAAATTCACCTTAGAATATATAACCTCATTAAATTTTAATGTATTTACCTGAACTCATGCAAAGTTATCTCTGAATTAGAAAAAAAAACATAAGCTTTTCAAGGTAAAACCAAAATTTACTTTTTGAACATTAAAGATTACTGATTTCTAATTTAGTCAAATTTGACAAAAGGATTACAGAGGAAACTTCAGTTACCTCAAATTAACCACTAAGTGACAAAAAATAAATATGATCTCCACAATCTAATCAAAATAATTCTGCAAAAATAGAACATCATATTTCAGCATTTTACATAAAGACTTACATAACTTACCAGTGTTGTCAACTCAGCAGAATGGTAGGTTTCACTGGGTTAGAGGTTCTTCCCAAAAGTATTCTCCTTCTACTATTGTCACAGATATTTGTAACTTTTCAACCACCTGACTTCTTCTGTCTGCCACTCCTATTGATGAAGGGCTGAATAAAGACTGAATTAGTGTAGTTTCTGCCTTAACCTGACTGGCCAGATCTCTAAGTCAGTCTTTTAGGACGGGCTATGGAAGACTGTTGCAAAATCAAATGTCACAAAATTATGTGATTTTAAAATTTTTCGGGGTTTTTCCCAGAAAACCTGCTAAGCCTGGTGGTTGGATCCTAGGGGAGTCATTCATCCAGCAGCCTGTCCTGTTTTTGAGTTAAAAAAAATGTTTAAAGTTGACAGGAAATTTTAAAATATCCCTCGATAATTATGTGTTATTGGAAGATTAACACCTGAAAACCAGCTATAAAATCTTTAAAAATGCAAACATTTAAAAAAGAAATTAAATAAGCAATGCTAAGCAGGGTGGGGCACAAGAAAATCTTGGTGGCCCGCCAGGGAAACTCTGGCTATATTTCTGCACTAACTAGGTAAATTCCCAAAAGTAATGTATAATAAAATTATAACATTTTGTAATTGCTTAACAAAATGCTGCAAAGTCTTCAGTAGCCTGTAATGTATCAAGTTGTATCTCATCATGAAGAAATCCAGAACTGATTATTATTATTAATCTATTTCCCTGGTTTAGTTCATGGCCTAAAACTGTGTTGTTGTCAACTATGTAATATGATTAGGGGACAATTTCTTTTTCAAATAAAGATAGGCTGCTTCATCTAGTTCTTGCTTTAAAAATGCGATTATAATTTGGAAACTGTTGTTGGTTTAATCTGAAATATTTAAGTATGACAAAGTAAAAACAGAAAAAATATTGAAGGGGAAAAATATGCATTTACAAAGTATTTTGGATCGATCTCCCTCATCAATTAGATCCTCATGGGGTTAGGAAAGAAACTCTTAAAACATTGTGCATATTTAAATATGCACAATGTTGCATTTAATTTAAACAGATTTAAAGCTGATTTGAAAAAATAACAATCACTCTGTCAAATGAAAAGTTCAACTTTTTGCACATCAACAGTTTTTGTGCAAAGAAGTCCACATACTTACCTTTCAGGAAGGATCTTTCAAGATTTAAGGTTTCTCCATCTGTGGGAAACAAACGCTCAAATGTTATTTGCAGTATTAAAATTAAAGGTCTGGTCCGCAACCAGATTATTTCAGCCTGATTATAAACTTAAACCAGAGTGCTGCAGTCATATTCAATAAATTAGATTACTAATGAATAATGTTTCTGTAACTCGACTCAGATTTGAACAGGTTACTTGACCACGTTTTCTGCTTGTGACTAGTTCCAGCTCCCAGTTCAATAGTGGGAATTGCTAAAATTGGATTTGTACTTCAGAAAATATATTAGTTAGAAATATTTAAAGGTTTAAGAAGTATTATCATTCATTAAATGGGTATCTTCTGCTCCTCTTAGGACGTCTTGGTGAGAACATGTCTCTAAAGCGGGCGGTGACCGTGAGAGTCCCTGCTGAATGGCACATAGGCTCATACGTACATGGCAACATCAGCAGTCAGACGGAGGTGACATTGGGCCGCTACGGCGCTCTGGTCGTATTCCAGGGTGGAAAGGATGAAGAACGAGATACTTTAGGTCGTAAACTCAGCCAGCATGTGGTGGGGGAGGCCCCTTTGTCTCTAGGGAACGAGGACGACCTACCTTGTGGTGAATCTGAGACACGGCTGCTGCCTCAGACCTTTCTGGGAGACCCCACTAGGACCGTGGCACAGTTCCTCAAGGGTCAACAGGCTCGAGTGTTGGACTTTGTCCGATTTCAGTGTGGAGAGACACTAGGGGAGCAATAAGGAGTTCCCATAACATTTCTCTGTGTTTTTTCATGTACAGCGATGAAATGCAAGAGACGGAGTCACAGAATGATATGACAGATGTGATGGCTAAAAGGCATTTTGGAGATGATGAAGTTGAAAATGTAACAATAAACTTTAAAACAGTAAATGTTCAAGTACTTTTCTTTTTTAATTAAAAACATGTTTGTTTGTTTTTGCCAATGTTAAAGTGGCAGCAGTGTGTATTTTCCATACCAAGCATTGTGCTTTAAAATAGCAAATATGACTTAAAAAGAAATTTGACTTGAAATTGTCCGCTGTCTCTTTAAGGAGTTCATGCTCTTTCCAACACTCCGCCTTCTGGTCATCGCAATGCCTTTCATTATGCTGTTCACAACCATTCTTAGGAGCATTGGACTGAAAAGTAGATTATATGATAAATTCAGCAGATTCAGTTCCACCTGGTGTTGGCTAATGGCTGCCCTGCCAGTCTGGACGGGCTGTCTGAAGCTGCAGCTCCAACAACGAGAACTTGAGACGGCAAGCGTTTGGGCACCTCCAATGGACCCCAGGGGAGAATCAAGGATTTCTCAAAGATTCATGAAAGAATTAAAGCAATAGTGGTTTTTAATGAGAGAAAAGTCGATTTTACATAATGCATCCTTTTAAGATACTCACAGATTTCCACTACTGAGGCTGAAAAATAAAGCATCTGTCAAGGGGTGACTCTGAATTTCCTAGCTCTTTGTCTTTGAGAAGTGCTACGAGCTAATTTCCTATTAAAACATGAAGAAATTGGCATTAATGTGTGAATATTAACAGGGTGTGGCATAATAATGTGCTTAGTACAATCTTTGCCCAGGGCTCGAAACTGCTGTTGAAAGCCACAAAATATGTCGCATATTCTGACATTCTTGCAATGTGATTGGCTGATTCAGTTTGAGACGTGTGACGTCAACGGGGGCGTACCTACCAAACTGGTTAGCTGCTGCTGTCCGTTTAGCTCTGTGCGGACTGACATCCTCGTCATAGAGACACCAAAATAAAATAAAATAAGACATGGTGAGTGAAGATTTTCTTCTGGATTCGTGTTTTATAGCGTACAATTTAGTTAGTTCGTTTCTAAAAGGTTGTAAAATGTGGAATAAATCTAAAGCAGGTTAGCTAAATGTAGCCTGCTTTACTCCATGTTTTTAACGTCTATCCTTCGTTGTCTCGTCTATCTTAAATCTGTCTCTACCAGTCTGACTTCACAGAAGACCAGATCATCGGTGAGTTCATATTTATGAATAGTTTGGCTTTTAATGGTTACATTAAAATGTTGTACGATGTGGTGTGGATGCAGCGCAGATTTGAGAAAGCTTTATAAAATCTTGACCCTGTAGCTCCCCACAAACTACTGGAGCCCTGAAGGTAAATAATGATGAACGGAGTTTTTGTTTTTGTTTTTTGTTTTTAGTTTTGACACTGCCTCACTAACAGTCTGCTGAAGAACTGGGTGGTTTTTGCATGGGAGTGCAAAAAGTATTTGTGTTGAGGAGTGCATTGCGTGCATCAGGGTATGAACCAAGACATGAAATCACTGATGTGGTTACAGTCACACAGACAAGCATTCAAAAATGTGTGTTGGGTGTTCAACAAGTTATAGTAAAGCTGAAGGTTAACAGGCCTCTGTAATAAATGTGCTAGCATCATTTTAAGACTCTATGTTTGAAAT